CTGCCCAGTGGTGGTTTGGGGAAGTGGGAAAAAAGGGGGGGGAGCCATAAGAATGGGTCAAGCAGTTTGTAGCTGAGAGGAGTCCCGACCTTGTGTTACTAGCTTTGTGTCTCAGAGCTCACGGTGCAGCTGTCTCCATGAGTCTGTCCTAGATGTCTTTAATCCATATAAGCATCTGCAACACCCTCTGGCAGGACTCACAGCTTAACTCTCTATTAAGGTTATTTGGTGAAGAGCTGGGGAAAGAATTAAGACAATGAACTATGGTAATAGTGCTTTAGCTGCAACTCGATACCTAGCATCACGCAATGACCAACAAACCTTCTCTCCAGGGTACGCGCCAGCGAGAGCTGCTAACTTTCCAGTGGCAACAGTTCACTGTGCCACTGTGCGTAGCGATTGCCTGGCTGCCATCAATTCCTTTTGTTGTTTCTTCAGAAGAGCCACAGGGCAGCTGGCACCCAGCAATGAATTCCAGAAAAGTACTAGCTTTTCAGATGGTTGGGTTCTGGGTTTTTTTTTTTTCCCTTCACAGAAATTGTGTCTAAATAACACAGTTTTGTAATAGGCATTAGAAGCTTTGGAGTAGATTTCCAGGAGCCCCCCGCTCGCTAAGCTGAAGTCTGGCATCTACAGCAGAACAAATTGCTTGCCCAGAACTGGATATGCCTGAAGACTCTGTACCTCTATTACAAGTTTCCAACAGCTAATTCTGGCGTTGATGTATACGTTTTTGTGCATCGAGAGCAAGCTGGTCCAAAGGCTTACGTCCTCTTGTCTTTGGGTGGAACCAGGCTTGTTCAGACAGGGGCAATCTCCTGAGTGCTGGCCCGGTACGCACTTTCTGTATTTGTAGATTAGGTAGGCCGTCGGTCAGTCATCTGAATCCTTCCTGGTAGTTATCTTAGTTTTACTATTTTTATACACCTATGCCAAACAAGCAGGCATTACAAAATATTTGACTTCCTGCCCTAAATCAAGCAGTCTTGTGGCACGTCTGGGTGCAAGACATGCAGGATGTGGTTCCTTTATAGGGCTTCCTGCCCCCTTTCCAGCCCCGCTTTCCGTCCTTCTGTAGTTCACGTACCTTGCCCGTGTATGCCAGCACTGTATTCTGTCTGCATTCATCAAATCTCTTATCAGAAAATGGTCAATCTTTAAACAATCTATTTCCCTGAGTAATTTTAGATATTAGAAACCTGCTTCAAATTCAGCAGGGAAGGTACCGCCTTTCCTCACCCAGGGAAGCATCTGGAGCCTCACTTGAGAGTAAAAATGAAACAGAGGCGGAGACCTGGCTTAAATGGTCTGAGCCATCTTCCTCACCAGCGATGGCAGAAGACAGGGAACCTTCTTCAGTGCCACAGAAGATGTTTCATGCACAAATACTGCTGTGGGAATGTGCCTGAGGGTATGTAGCATCCACTATTGCCTTCGTACTGTAAAACCCCTCACTACTCGGCCAGCTGTAGCTGTACAGCATTATCCGGTTTCAGGCACTGTATTAAAAATACAATAATTTTTTAGAAGCCATCTTTATAACGGTAAATTAAATGGAGCCAGGACACAAGCCCAGAATGGAAACTTGCCCGTCTATCTTGTCAGCTTGTTAGGATGGGCCACGGCATACTTCTGGCCGGGCTGACAGCTTTCCCTGGCAGGGCTTGGGAGCCGGCGTGGGATGTGTTCGGTAGGCAGTTTGGATGCCGCTGCCCTGGTTTGGAAGGTAAGACGGTCGGATAGTACACACAGACCACTTCTGTAAGGAACAAAACTGATCAGTTCTGAAGTCTCACTCTAGTTCTAGGTCTGCAAAGCCCATTCTCCTGGCAACAGCGCTGAATCTGACCCATCTGACAGTATTACTTTTCCTCTTGGTTTCTTTTTTTTTTCTTCCTTTTCTTCTGCCCTTTCCTTCTGGGAAAAGAAGTAACCTTTCTCTAAGGATAATAATCTTTATACCTTTTGCAAGGCAGAAGAAATCTTTAGGGCTTTCAGCTATACAAACCTAATTTGTCAGGTTTTTTCCCCCCCTCCCCATCTCTCTTAATGGATCTCTTATACATTTATAATGTACTCAGTACCGTGGTATCTAGGGACCTTATACACAATTTATAAAGCAAACATTTTTTTTCAAAAAAGTCTCTACTTCTCTTCTGGCTATTGCCAATCTCTGAATCAGGCTCTCTTCCTTTGCAAATCAAAGAGAACGAGTTGCCTGTCTTAGACTCCTGACACAAACTGTCTTACAGTATCCTGGCTTTGCATGTGTGGGACGGCAAAGTCAGGTTCACGTTGATTTACTTCAGCAGTTATTAACTATAGAACTGCCTGCAATCAACACAGCTGGCTGCATTTCTCCATCAGCTTCAACACTGGTATGAGTCAGAACTGGCAGTTCCCTAGCTCCGTGCAGAGCGGTATCCGAGGTAAGAGCCCAGAATGTTTCAATATACATTGAAGTGGCTATATAATTACTATATAGAGAAAATAATTCAGTGCTGATGAGGAACGAAGCTTTAAATTTCCATGCCACTAGTTGTAAGCAGCTGGATGCTGCAGGCACCAGTTGGGAATAGCTTCCTACTCAGCATCCTGAAGAGTCCGACCGCTGCCTTGCAGGGTGACCAACCCTTCACAAATGCCTAAGGTGTGCATCTGGTTGTGCGAGGACGTTGTACTCATTCTGGGCCTGAACCTCTAAAGGTGAGCTCTGTAATACTGATAGCCTTTATTGGATCCAGCTTTCCGGTCTCCAGTATAATACAGCGGTAACAGCGTATTTGTATTTTACTCCACAGTGGTAGTGGGCAATGTATTCACGAGCCGATGGAGACCGGCTGAGTGCAGTGCTGGCACAGGAGGCAACACTGATCAAAGCCTTCATGTACTCCTTGCTCCAGATCAACGTGCTTGATTTTTTCTGCTACACTTGTTTTCCAACACTAATATGTAACAGCACCTAAGAAGATTCATTATTTGAACATTCACATGTCCATTTACGCTGACTTTTATTTCCTAGGTCACCAAAAAAGGTGACCAAAAAACCCTCCAAAACGCCCAAACCTTGTTCCATGGATGCAGACATACATCGAAGAGACTTAGAATGGCTGCAGGGCAGCACTGAGGGTGAGCTGTGTTGCTCTCTAGGGTTACCTCTGGATTTGAGACCAAACAGAAAGGATCTACAGAAATTTAATAAAAAAGGAACACTGATTAATAAGTTGCAAAAGTAATGGATTCAATCATGAATTAGAAGGATAAGTCAAAACTAAATTCCTTCTGTTAAAAAAGAAGAAAGTGCCACTAAATCTTCATGGTACTCAGCTGGCCAACGTGTTAAAAGCGCTGCTAATGGTGCAGCGCCCTTCTCCGCAGCTCTGGACACTGGATTACCACCGACATGCCCGTCACCCCTCGTCACACTAGCAGCTCTGCTTCTCCTCCATTTCCCACCAAAGACTTCACTGAGAGGTGCACGGCTCGGCCCCGCCTTGTTAAGAGTAATGCTGGGACTGTTTCATGAGTAGGGAGTGCAGGAACCTCCCCGGCAGTTTCTGAGAGGAGCAGATGTGCAGATCTGACCTCCTCAGCATTCGGCAGTGTCAGTGTCCTTCTGCTTTGTCCTCCCCAGCTTGCTCTCTCTCAGACAGGAACCCTCCATCAACTTCAGAGTCAGACCTTACTGGAGATGACAAGTTAGACTAAATACAAATACTCATGTAAATGAAGTTTTGAATTAAGGCTCTATAAAATAATACCTCAAAGCATAAATAAGATTTTTACTAGCTTGTTGACTAAGTGATAAAAAATGACAAGGTGAAAGGTGTTAGTAATTTAAGCTAATATTTCTAATTCCTATTAAATTGTTAAACTACAGATAATCCTGAGAGCATTTTCAGTAAACTCTGTTGCAACTTCTAGCTAAAAAAATACTCTGAAACCAGGGGTACAGAAAAACCCCATGTAATTCAAGAGGGAACACAGAAATTTTGGAAGAGATCAAGGCATAAACAAAAACATGAAATGGAAATGAGCATCCAAAACGGCAAAATATATTTAAGCAATATCACAAATACACCAAAAAAAAAATCTATTTACAGATCTAAAATTGGTACATCCAGTAAGAATCCTCCCACAAAAAAGTATTTATAAACAAGAAATTTGACCCAGTTACATTGTCTGCTGCTGGCAACAGAGGTGCTTTACAGCTAGCATAGCGTTAAATTATGCCTTTGCAAAAGAAAGGGAAAACTTAATAAAGGTGAAGAAATTATTTCTGGGAAAAACTTGAACTGAAGGCTGGACAACAACAATCACAAGGCATACAAAGCATAAGGAACTGCAAATACGTAACTCTGGTAGTACAAAAATGAAGAAGAATGGCTTTTTTCTCCAATACTTGTTCAGAGAAAAACACTACTGTGAATTTGCAATTTGAATTCCTTTTAAAGACTTAGGTTTGTAGGACTTCGTGCATGTGCATGTTTCAGCAAGGCTGATACTATACAGGAGGTAAATGAAACAAAGTCAACATAAAATTACTGTCATGATATAAATTTATAACAACCTTTATAACAAAATGCCTGAATATACAGTACAGAGACAAGCCTCTAAAAAAAAGTTAGATTTTCTCCATCCAGACAATTAATTCATAAGCATGTCACTGCTAAAGAAAAACAACTTGTATGTAACCGACAGCATACGTAACATTCTTTGGAATTAGATTTCAATTTCTCTTTCAGGTGTTGCCCGTGTATTTCATACGGGGAACAGCGGAGGGATAAATCCTCACTTCTCACTGGGATTAGGAGCTCCTGGTGTGTTGTCCCTCAGGCGTGCGCACGGGGCTGGGCAGAGACCGCGGAGGTGCACGAGTGCCAGGAGCCGGAGAACTCCACCTCCACCTGGGAACGTGGGTCACGGTAGGACGCCTTGATATCAGTTGGTGTAGAAGCAGGGAATTAATACTGTTGAATTCCTGAGGCTCATCATCCCACACCCTGGGTTTTACTGTGTTTTGAAACACACAAGACAGTCTCTTTGTCCAAAAAGGCCTCACAGTTTTGAATGGCTGTAAACATCTCTTCTAGTTTAAATCAGCATTTTTACCATGCCTTTGCTATTTAAAAAAACAATAAAATCAAAAGTAGGAATACCTTAGCTGATGTTAAAACTATTTCAGATTCAGAAAACTAGAGTCCTTTAATTGAGAAAACTGAAGCAAATCTGCAAACACGTCATCAGTTTTGCAAATAATCTTTTTGTTATATTTTTAGCTGACTCTATCTAACTTTCAGCAAACTGCTAAAGATCACCCAGTCTATCCTAGAGAAAATCTAACAGTTTGACAAGTAAGCTGGAAACAATTTAATAAACAGAGGCAAAAGATCAGCACCAACTGTTGCGTTTGTTCTGCCCAAAGCTAGGCCCATCACTGCGCTGCAGAAGGGACACTCCGTTTTAGTCTGCCCGCAGTCCCAGGACAGGTCAGGAGTCCCACGCTTTTCCTGTTCCCCTTGACGTACAAAAAGAAAGATACAGATGATGTTCACAAAAATGTAACAGTAGCAGGTATAGAGTAAGATTTACCCATTATAATTAGCGAGAAGTGTTATGGTTGATGTTCAAAGCTTTTCCAGCTTTTCCAGTGCTTTCCAGTCCAAAGAAAGGACTAACTTCTTGACTTTCAAATGTTCACAGGGTGACTATCAGGTATTACAGTGTTGCTTTAAGGGGACTTTGTTAAAAATTTCTAGTGCTCGAGTCGGAACAGTTTATGATGCAATCAGATGAACTTTTACTGAAATAGCAGTCAAAATAATGGTGATTTTACAAACCAAGTGATTGCCTTTATGCAATCTTTTTTCTCTATACTCAAGGGTTGTTGGCCAGAAATGGCTGAAAATTACTTCTGCAGAGGAGGCAGAGCTGCTTTTCCGCAACCTGACAGATGCTCGTTCAGCCTAACTTCAAGTATACAATTTATGTGCTTGAATGAGGAGCTTATGTACCCAGCTCAGGCTCCAGAGGATGACTTAGAACAGACATGCTCTAAGGTTATTAAACGACATAAGGGATTTGTCTGCTTGACCTTTGGCACATGAAAGCAAAACCAAAACAAATCTAATAGGCACAATCACAGGAAAATTCATCCTAAAATAGAGATCAAATGAGTCTTCCTCTAGAAATATTTATTTCTCTTTGTTAATGAGCAGTTCAGGTCACTAGCATGGATTCAGATGTCTGGCTTTCAGACATCTGAATTTAAACGAGATGACTCCTACCTCAGGCTCCCACGTTAGGAACTTAAGTTGGATACCTGAAGTTAGATGGCGAGATTACCCTCTGTCCTTACTAAGATCTGCCACCTCTCGAATCCATGACAGAGCTGCAATAGCAGCATTTACTTAGAGAAGACCCAACGGAACCGAGTCTTGGCAGGACATCTCATCTCATCTCTCATTTCTTCACCCCCTTTTCACTTTATGGAAGGGGATGGAGAAAGGTGAAGTGGGGTGGGGGTGGTGTCTTGCTAAACAAAGTTGTGTAATACACGCTAATGAGGAAACAGTGGCTGTCACCTGTAAATCCTACAAAAATCACCATTTTGAAGTTGGTGGGTGCAAATTACTCTGGCTATTGCAGATCTCATAATTTAATCACACATTTTATTTTCAGGAGTTACTAACAGGTATCAGTGTTAGCAGATTCTCTAACTTAGCTGACTAAAAAGTTCAAATGGAATTAGAAAAACCCTTGATGACAAAGATTTAAAGAGCTTCTAAAGTATTCTCATGTATTTAAATAAAAAAAAAATTAATAAGCTGTATTTTAGACAAATATCAGCTAGTGCCTAACATTTTTATTAAAATACTGATGGAAACAGAAAAAAAGTAAACTCTAGGTCTACTGGATTGCACACACGTATGCAAAAAACCCGCCACAAATTGTACTCTTAGCTGCTTAGTTGTTTCACTCCTTATTTTCTGCACTTGAGAAAATGAGATCAGAAAGCTATACAGCTTCTCTGACTGAAGAGGGAAGGCCGGGGCAGGATTTCTAGGGTCCCATCCAGCTCTGTAAGTGGAAGGATTAAGATTAGGACCCTGTGGCTGGGAGAACAGAGTTGAGGAATACTCAGGATTCACTCCTGTCCTAAGGGAATAATCGATTCTTTCTGACAAACTTTGCTTGTGGTTTTAATAGATAATGAACTCATCAGTCCAATCCTGTACTTAGCATTTTACAGAATCAAGGTCTTAGGCACAGCAAAGACTTCAGATGAACATGGAAGCAGGGCAACGCTTGTATTTCCATTTTTTATCTATGGATTATTTTCTTTGTTAAATTCCTTGGGGTTTGGTGTTTTTTTTTTTCTTCAGGGTAGCTTTTCAAAATACAAACTAGTAAGAGCCTGGAAAAGACAGAACCACCCTAACAGGTGAGGGAAAAACTCTCAGTGTGCTTTTTATTCCATATATGAATTAACTACTGGGAATATTTAAAAAAAAAAAAAAAAAATCTAAGGAATGCTTTTTTTCAACAGAATCAGGTACTTGATGTCAGGAACAACACAAACAGAAACAAGAAACACTGAGAATCTCACAAGGCCGTTCTGTGATACAAAACAGCATGAAAAATGCTTCACCCACCAATCGTGTGTTTTTTATTCCATATATGAATTAACCTACTGGGAATATTTAAAAAAAAAAAAAAGATCATCAGCAAGATATTGAATTTGGAAAGTAACACTTGAAGTTTTTAAAACTGCACTTCAAAAAACATTGTCCGAGCAGCATCATAACATTAGAGTGTTGCTGATTTCCTTGTTTTCTGTGGCAAGTTTCCACTGATGGCAGTAGAGAACTGAGGCAGGGGCTGAAGATGTAAAAGCGAATAAAACTAAAGATTCTTGGTAACTACTTACCTAAAATGGCTATTCATTCTTCTCTTTTATTTTTTTGGCTCAGTGCTGTTTTATAATACCCTTGACCCCACCATATAATTTCAAGGACATATAAATCGATTTGAGTATTAGCTTGGTTCCTTTCCTGTATTTGAACCTTATAGTGGATATAAATGACAAATAAGCATGCTATAACATTCACAGGAGCTGTTGTCCATCAAACTGGTGACTGAACGAAAGCTGCTTTAAGTAACAAATATGAACACGCGAACTGTCTCCAAAATGCATGGTCATATTAAATAAGTCTCTTACATATGTACATACAGACCAGTGACAAAACTCAAATATCATAGTCCTACCCTCTTCTGTTTAAGATTGCAGTTTCTATCTGTTGCATATACTGTAGCTGCTCAAAGAGCTGAATAAAGTGAGTGTAGCAGACTTTTTCAGAGAAAAATAGTCATATAAAAAGTTTTAAGTATGGTACAGTGAGAAAGTTCCCAGAGCTCCCGCTTCATTTTCTCTTTGGTTGCTAATTAGGATTTGACGAGTTTGAAACCCTGCCCTGTGTCCAGGACTGTGGGAAGAAACCAACTCATTTTCAGTCTTTTCAAGCACCTAAAACACGCTTTACAGACCCAGAACAGATTGAGACCACAAAACCAGTTTGCCAAATGTACTAAAGGATAGGTGATACGTGGGAAGTATATCATCCAGTGCTTGGCAACATCGCTTCCCGTTGGCAAATGCAAAGTGTAGTCGCTCCAGTGTTTTGACACACCATACACAGCTTTCACTGTACGTCCCTTTTCAGACCAGCTGATGTTACTGTCGGGGTTACAGTTGTACTCAACCCATTGCCTGGTGAAGTCACCAAGCTGTGGAGGGTCTGCTTCCTCGATGTCTACAACTCTGGCCATTTCTGCTCCTTGCACGGCAACATACTGGTCATTTACTTTTCTTACTTCTTTAACCCAAGGCTGAGAGTTCTCACAGTCTAAAACGATGATGAGTCGAGAACAAAAAGTGCTGTTCTTTTCTCTCCACCAGTCCAACAGCGTGTCAAGTCGTAAAGCATCACCCCCTGCCACAAGTAAAAAAAGATTTAATATTAGGAAAAAAGAAACAGAAACCTCTGTAGAATTTTGACTGCAGGTTCCAGGAATCCCTTATTTTAACAATCTGGACAGATATAACAGAAGTTTTCAACTGATCCTCCCCATTTGTAGATGTTGCAGATCTCTGGAGAGGTATTAACTGATTCCACCTGACTTGCTGTGGCAGATGAGGCCATTAACTCACCCTTGATTTGCGGGGGGGAAGGAATTCCCTCACAGAGTGAAAGAAATTACAGCCTATTGAAGAAATCTGAAAATAGCTAAACAAGGAAAGAAAACTTGAAATAGAGTTTATTTTGTATTAAATGTTAATAATTTTAAGGGAAAAAAAAAGGACTCTTTTTAGTATGTTTTTATTAACATTAAAAAGGACTCCAACCTTACCCTCGCCAACCATATCCTGGGCCAACTGTATCCTCAGCTGCATCAAAAGAAGCGTGACCAGCAGGTTGAGGGAAGTGATTCTCCCCCTCTACACTGCTCTCATGAGAGATAGACTATGTCCATTCAGATAAAGCACAACCTTTCTATTTCCAGAGCATGTGTTACATGGGCCAGAGCTACAGAGTTAGAGATGGTGTATTAGAAAACCACTCCAAAGTGTACAACAACCACAATCCTTGGATGTAAACCAGGAAGCAGTGGTAGGAGCAATGAAGATTTATTTCAGCCTGGAGAAGAGAAGGCTCTAGGGAGACCTTATAGCAGCCTTCCCGTACCTGAAGGGGGCCTACAAGAAAGCTGGAGAGGGACTTTTTACAAGGGTATGTAGTGATAGGCCAAGGGGTAATGGCTTTAAACTGAAAAAGGGTTGATTTATATTAGATATAAGGAAGAAATTTTTTATGATGAGGGTGGTGAAGCACTGGAACAGGTTGCCCAGAGAGGTGGTGGATGCCCCATCCCTGGAAACATTCAAGGTCAGGTTGGACTGGGCTCTGAGCAACCTGATCTAGTGGAAGGTAACCCTGCCCATGGCAGGGGGGTTGGAACTAGATGATCTTTAAGGTCCCTTCCAACCCAAACCATTCTATTATTCTATTATTCTATGACTCCTCTTTCAAGGAAAAGAGAGGACTTCTGAACACAACACGTGCTAACAGTGCACAACCTACAGGCACAACCATCACTTTAGCTTGAAAAATTCATGTGACCAGAAATGGAGAGATTCACTCTATAGACACAGTTGTCTTCAGAGTGTCAAGAAAATTAAAATTGGTATGGATTTACAACTCAGTGAAACAAAAATCTCATAGAAATTTTTCCACAATATTTATTTCCTATCAGCTCAGAAAACACTTGCAACCAGAGTGTCCAACTTCTCATGTTCCATCTCAGCTCTTGCTCCAACAATGCTTTGAAAGAGCAGATTGTAATTAAACAGTTACCTATAGCGGGGAGTCCTTCTGCTTAAGTGTAATGGATACTGCAGGATCTATGTAGCTTTGAAAAGCAGACAACTTACTCAAGTGCCTAAGGAAAACATCTTGCAAACAAGTGAATAAATCTCCATTGGCTCCACAGTGACCATTAATGTGAAGGACTGATATGTCTAGGTGTTGGCGGGTTGGAGCTATGATACAGATTCACAATAAAAACACTCTAGTCTGAAAATGTCGACTTTTAAAAAAAGATGAAGACTTTTAGAAGAAAGGTAGAAAAATGTGATTTAAAATAACTGCATTTTAATTCCATAGTGATTTTCATTGTGGACTATAAGTACATTTAGCAGTGTTTAAAATCTTGTTAGTAGGAATTTAACTGCACAGATGAATCTCAAACAGAATAGCTGCATATTTCAGCACTTACATTTCTACCTGTAAGGGGTGACAAAAAAGTGCTTCAAATTAATAGCTCAGAGTTAATGCTTTTAGCATGCTATTGCAGTTAAAGTAAAAGCAAAATTACAGGGCTACAACTTTCTCCAAAAAAATGCAAACCTGGAATATTTAGTACCAAAGAAAATCTTAATATACTTACCCGCAGTAATGACTTGTCTTGGTACATGATCCCCAAATTGCTGTAGTTATTTACAGCAGAGACTTGTATAAAAGCAGTCTCCCTTTTCTAGGTAAGCCTTCTGTGTCAATTAGCAGTAAAAATTTCTTTATTTGTTCATGTTTTAAAGGCTAATAAATAAACTTTATTTTAGTGTAACTATGCAGGGGTGCAGGTGACTTCAAAACAGTACTGGATAGAACTGCCCAAAGAAAACCATCTCATCCTTCATACACATGCACAAACACATGCTCAGCTTCTAACCCTACTGACCTCAAACACATGGACTTATCAGCTAGCGCAAGATTTAGGCACCAAGCTGTGTAAGAAATCTATGCGTCTGGCCACATCTGGCTCTTTGGCAGGTTTCGCAGGCAGTTAAGCTGACAGTTTCAGCAACAGAGACAAAGCTTCATTAGCCCAGCTCTTGCCTTTGCCTTCACTCAGAGAACATGACCTCCCCGGTCATGAGCGTGAGCTCATTTGACTGCTCACACTTTATGCATGACTAGTTAACAGATTCTTTTTTACTCCACTGTGTTACAACTCAGCTTCCAACAACAGAGGAACATCATTAGTGACCTAATAAATCCAGTAAGCCTCCTTTAAAAGATGTCATTATAAAGCAAAGACTACACTGCTACTGCTGTGCTGTATCATGGCATAAGCCAGCAGTAAGACACTACTATTTCTATTAGATCCAAATGTTGTATTTCATTGTTGCCATCTCTCTTCATCCTCTCCAGAGGTCAGAGGACGGTACACATTACAGGAGCTGATGACCAAATGCTCCATCTGTCAAAAACCGCCACTGTCCAATACATGCAGTACAATTACACAATCAAACAGCCTTCCTCTTTTCAGTTTATACTCCAAGTTACATTCAGGGGCAGTGCTATCTGGAAGGAGCATCAGGTTACACTCCATGATTTATTGAAAATTAATCACAAAAAAGGATGCAAGACGTGACAGCTGCCTGTTCCTCTCTTTATGTGACTATACATATCTCCAAGCAGAAGCTGAAGATGATCATGGATACAGAACTGAAAAGCAACTTTGTGAAAAAGCTGAACACCACTGCATTTACACACTGTATCTTTTAGCACAGAAACTTTCTTTTTATTGTAACGGTTACCTTGGCCCTTATCCTAGAAGTGAAAACAGAGTTTAATTTAAGCCACAGCTACCTGAACAGGTATACAGAGACCTGAGCTCCCCTGTCACACTCCAGGCTGGCCAGATGTAAGCCAGGACTGGGCTGGAAGCTGTTCAATTTTTGCAGCAACATTTGGCTCTATATATGCTAAAAAGATAACCGTACCTATGCTGCTGGCTGGAGCATGGGTGGGAGGCAGAGTTTTGCAGCTAGCCTGCTCCCCACAATGTATAGACACACTCAGCAATTGCACAGGGCGGCAGCTGCTCTTATGGACAAGACCACCCTATTCTCGGAGAAGTCATTCAGCCACCTTGGCGTACACTGCGGTACGTCACTTGCGCTAAGCTCAGAGTACAAGCTGTGGCTTTTTTAAATCACTGATACAGATGAAGCCTTTGAGAAAAAATACGCGTTGCTCTTCAGCAGGTGTAAGAGTTCAGGCATGAGTTGCACCAAAACAGGTATACAGCCTCCAAATGAAGACTGACCTGCACCTGAACACCTCAGCAAGACCACATGCAAAGCTAACATCTGTCTACGCTGTTGAAGAGCACATGGCCCTGGACAGAGACTGCTGACAAACAGCCAGGAGCTCACAGGCAGAGCGCTATCCAAGAGAATTAATTCTGTCCCAGGAAGAAAAAAAGTTGCAAATTTTCAATGTATTTACTACAAGATTCACTTTTTGCACACAGCAACCTCAGAAGCCCAGTTCCATACAGCAGGAGGGCAAGGCTAAACCTACTGATGATTTGAAAACTTTCAGTAGGTTTACCAAAGAACACAGTTGAGATAGGACTGCCCATTATAGAGATCAAAAACAGGCCAAGAAAAGGGGAAATGGTGAAGTCTATGCCAAGCATATGACGAGGCATTAAACCAGCCCTTTATATAGCGGTTTGTAGTCTTGAGGCTATACTGTGCCCACAGTGACTCTCAAACTCTAGGTTGTCAGCACACCATAGCTGTTTTCACGATACAAGGTTTGCTATATGTTTGAAGACCTGCTTTTCTAGTGTGGATTGTGTACCTGCCTCCTACTTCTTTTACTGATTCTATCTTTTACAAAAAAAACAGAGCACATCTTAAGGAGATGTATGCAGTCCTTCATGACAGTCTAACTGACACAGTGACACAGAACGCTGTATAATTCACTCTGCCATGTCCAGGGAATGAGAAGAGATTATGCTTGTTCATTACAGTGAACAAATGTTCCTCAAAATACAGAAGAAATCTATCTTTAGAGAAGGAGGGGGTCATGTTGACTTTACTTTTCTGGGGAAAAAAGTAATCTTTAAAGTTAACTTGTTGAATTGTAAGGGGAATATGAAATCATGTTTAAACTTGTAAGCATACATTTGGGGTCAACAATATTTAGACAATTTTGAGAACAAGTGTAAGATTAGTTAGCTGCAAAAGGATTTTTATCAAAGTGACTAAATACTAAAATGACATAGAAGTTCATAAAGCAACATACCTGACTGTCATACAGAGGAAGGTAAGGAAAGAGCTGCTTCTTTACATCAAGTTAACTGCATACAAAAGGGGCTTCTGCATTTCTCCATTCTCTCCACTAGCAGAGGTAGTTGGCCTGCAACCTTGCCTATTTTGATGATTCCTTGTAGCCCCTGAATCTCTTAACAGCCATGCTCTGTATATTACCCTTTCCTTTCTTCCTCCCCTGCCAGGAGCTTGTATGAACCTGTTCTCCAAAGACCGGTGGTTCTTTGCCATTCTGGACTATCAGATAATAAATGTGACCAAAACTTCAAAGCTTTGCAATACAGTATGATTTTTAAAAGAACGAATTAATTGATTTGGAAAGTTTATCAATACTAAAACTATTAATAAAAAAATCCCCAAACCAGTTACCTGCCAGTGCCCATTCGCCAGTGCCATGTGAGTGACCACTGTAATATAAAATGTAGGTATCATGTCTGGGTCCATCTGCTGTCCGAAGTTCAAGAAAAGACTTGATCTTGGAGTGAAGGGTATCAAAGGTCAGTCCGCTTGTAGAATAATCACAACCGTACGTCTCAATCATGTGATACGCAAAAAATCTTTGGATGGCATTGAGCATGCCAGTAGACCTCAGATTTAACTCTTGTACATGCTCAGGTGGAAGAAGAGTTGGCTGGCCATCAGGACTAAAGAGAAGAAAAACAGCTATGATTATGATTTATAATTATTTCATGCTTAGTGGACTTCTAGCAATTGATGATTTTTTTCCCTGTGCATATTTTCTCTGCCGTGAAGAGCACCTAAATTCAAATTGACTTGAAATATACAGTTTATAAACAATTCAAAATATTGTATTTGAGTGAGGGACCACTATCTCCCCCTCCTTTTTGTCACACTTCTTCATTTCAAAGTGTAGTCCTTACACAACTCCATGCTATTCCTGCAGCTGAGAGACAGAAAGAGAGAGAGGGGAGCTGTGATGTGAACATGCTGGGCTTCAACTATTTCATTAAGTTCCACTGAAAGAGCACTGCCTTCAGACAGGCATTTGTTCACACAAAACTGGAAAGTAGCCCAGGGAGAATGAGTGTTAGTCTGCACAAAACATCATGCAAACTAGTTTCCAATAATAGACTAAAGAGAAATCCAAGTACACATTTTGCTCAGATATTTTGAATTAATTTCTCTCTGTTCCAAACTAGCCTTTATTCAATATGGTACCCACGCAAATACAGCAATTCTTACTTGTGTGTGCTGTTCAGATGCTGATCTTTCAGCCTAACAAATATGTTTCAGATGACGGTATTCACCGCTTAGAAATGAAAGTTCTAAGAAAATTACAAACTAGACCTGGAACAAACCACGTATATATAGATGGGTGTGTGTGTGTGTGTGTGTATAGATATGAATATGCCTATATAACAAAAGAGTCCCTGCATTCTCTGGGCAATGGACAGATTTTGTGGATGCAAATACAGAGATGGTCTTACTCTACTAATATAAAATATGACTTCTGGTTTTTTATATATATTTATGTATGCGTGTATGTATTCTTCATGTATTTTGTTTGCAAGTCAGTGTGTAAAGCTACCCGCTTTCTTTTTTGGTCTAGCTAATGAAATTTTGCACCTCCTCACCTGTCTAGTGCCTTCATGAAGGCTAACGTTCCACTACTATGATTATATTGAATACATCATCATTATTGTTTGTCTCAGCAAGTGAAGACTGGGCCCATTACTGAAACAGTCAAGCTTTGTTAATAAGGAAGTTTAGTTCTGTCAGGTCCTAAACAGTCGCTCAAGAGTATCTTATTCACTCAGAAATTAGAGGGAACTGCCAGAGCCAGAATAATATAATACAATGAAAGAATTAAATTATTGCCATGGAAACAAAAAATTTATTTCTATTGTAATGTAAATTTTGAAATTTTTTTTTATCCCTAACAGTAATTGATTACATGGATTTTTTTATAAGAATGCACAGCTGAAGACTGTAGATCAAAGCTCAGAAAATTTGTTTTTACAGCATTTTACACTATTTAAGATACAGTGATCTAAGATCAGCACGCTACCTTCTGTTTCTTTGCCTGTTAACTTTTTTTCCTATCCACTGAATCCATTACACATACTGCAAGCTGGGCAGTTTTCATAAATTGGGCAGTTCTATTTTTAAGCCTCTCATTTCAACTTAGCACTCTGTTTCTCTTGTAACTCAAATAGATAACTTACATAGCTCTTGTTTATCATTTACAAAAAAAATGTGTAAACACAATTTTAATTATACAGCTAAAGTAGCATTTGCAAGTTTAAAACTTCTAAGAAAAACACACGAATGGGCAAATAATAATAGTACAATCCCTCCACCCCCAAGCATTTCTCATACAGTAACATTTTTATTGGAACAAAAATCAGCCGTGAATTCACAATACCAATAACTGACACGTTGGCCACTCGTAAATCTAATTTCAATGTCCTTTAAATGTAGACACCATCTCATTTAACAAAATTCAACATTGTTTTAAACCAATCTGTTTGGTTTATTAAATCTCCTGTTATAAAATATCTGCACTCAGTCAAATGCCCCAATCCTCCTCTGCATGAGATACGCACTGTGGAATCTGCCTATGCATTATTGGTGCGTAAAGCATTCATTAGCTTTCTAAAAGCAAATTAAATACATATAAAAAGGTGGAGTTGGAGTTACTCATTCTTTTTGGAAGGCAAGGAAAAGGAAAAATACAAAATCTGCCTATTATTTAAATTTGTATGTAACTATTGAAAAATACAAGCAACAGCACTGCATTGCCTCTACGAGCTAACAGTACACTTAACACTACCGTGAAGCGGAAATACATAGTAACTATACCTGCAAAAGTTGGTGGGAATCACAACTGCATACCCAACGCAGGTTCCTCCCAAGCAGTTTCCCAGTTCATGGAAAAGCCCATGAGCCATGGACTCCAGAGGTAACACGATGAGAAACGCACTCATGAAGATCCCATTGGTTGGCTAAAAAGAAAACAGAGAGATTTAGGTATTGCATGAAAAATCCTTCCTATCTGTTGGTTACGGTTTTATGAGTAATTCCCTGCGTTTGATCAAACATAATTGGGTCCTCCAACATACAAGTTATTATACACAACGTATACTTATTTTTCCACATACTGCACAGTGAAATACTCTAAAGACAAATGAAAGGCCAGTTTGGGGGTTTGGGGAGAAGGCGGCTGGTAAGCAGGGACCACTCTTCTGAAAGGAATGCATTTGAAAACACTAACAGCACAGGACTTAGGTGTAACAGTCCTGATCATAGCTTAGCTTTACCCATTTAAGCAGGAAAATCAAATGCCACAAAATTACTTATGTGCATAAAATAAGTATATCTGTAAATATCTGCAGGATCAGGCCTTAATCAGTGAAGTACAACACAGAATATTATGTACCTAGCATCAGATGATAGCATACTATATTGCATCATTAAAAATATAGATATAACTATATTTGCTTTTTAACACCAAGAGTTTTTAAAATATTCTTTGTGGAATACTACGTATCACACAAAAGATTACTTATAACAACATTTATGAACATCATTGCAATTAAAAAGACAATTCTTTACCAGCTACCTAAATATCAGATGAGAAGGGACATCCGCTACAGGACTTTGTAGCATTCACACAGCTAATACCCTACATCGAGCCTTCCTGTTTTGTAGGTAAAAAGCAGTTTTGGAAAAGATTACACTCACTGATATATAGATGATTTCTGTAAAAAAAAAGGAGCTTCAAAAGTAAAGTCTCAACCACTAGTACTAGTAAAATAAAAATGGACTTCTGAAATGCCAGCTGTTAGTGAAAGACAGAACAGATACAGATTCATTTTAATTATTTTAATATGATGTGAATGGGTTTAATGAGGCATTAAATGCTTTAGAAAAGGTATAAATGGTATTATAATATATAATTAACCAACTGCACATCCATGGTGCAGTTATTAAATATTAATGTTTGTTACGTAGCAAAGGAAATAAATTCATAGCTATGCATTTCTGTCTTGAGAAGAGTCGCGTGGCCTCTGACGACATCTATGTTTTATTTGCCCTCTTTGCATAAATCTACAATCGTAATGTTTTTCAAAAATCCGGATATTGCCTTATTGTTTAACACTCAGTGATTTGATGTGGACTGGTAGTTCAGCTTAACACATAGACAAAGCTATTAATAATTTGGAAAGTAAATTACACTGAAAAAAATTACACCTAAACAAACTCAGTTCTTTTTGGCCCATGGCACTAACTCAACTATATTCAGTTTTTAAACACACAAATATTATATGACTTGGTCTGAAAGAACAGCTTTACCCACCTACTGTGCTTCGTGCCCTAAGGAAGAATACTGTTTGCTACCTGTCCTGGTTTTAAAAAGTGTCCCATTATACTTCTGATGGAAGGATCTCACCCATGTGTCCTTGAAATGGTGACAGCAATACTTCTAAACACAAATATACACCAGAATCTGGTATTAACTGATAATTAACTGATAGCGTTATTAACTGATAGCACTACTCTCAAATAGTTGGTAGCATTTTTCTCAAATTCCAACATCTGAAAAGACTATAAAACTATATCCAGCTCCTACTGTGCTTTATATAATTCATGACAAATGAAAAATTTATTTATTTAGCTTCTAGCTGTCAAAGTCACGAGGACATGACACTGAGCAGGCAGCAAATCATGTTACAGAACAACCACGGAGAGCTTCCCTTTACCCACAGCCCTGCACACATTATCACAAAAGTGCAATTAATATGCTTACTGACTTGCTAATGTTCGAGCTACAAAACTGGTTCGGATATATCAAGTCCATCAACAGGTGATAATGCCAGTGCCAATACTGCAATCCGATTTCATGTGGTATAATGTAATTTGATGTTTTGGTGCTAATAATTTGAATCTACAAGGACCAATGCGTGCCTATGAAGTGCACTTATATTATAGGAGATTCACAATCACTTTCATGTACATAATTTTCTTAGCCATCTCAGGAGGTACTTTGCATCATTCCAGATATATTCCTTTCCCCATCCCAGTCTTGCCTAAACTCAGAGGGTCAGGATCAGTGAGTAAGCAGATGCAATGTATTTAGGACAAGTGCAGAGAAGCATTCACATAGTGATTCTCGAGTTTTGTGTCAGAGGATAAGGATTTTCAAAATAATTTCCCCCAAATCCATACAATTACCTGAAATCACCAGAAGACAGGAAGGCTTAAAACACTGTAACAACTATGGTGCAACCTCAACTTGTTTTGTTGTCAATAAGGAGAAAAAAATCCTGTAACTAAGACAATATAATTTTTGTTTCAAATGTATCAGCAGAAAGTGTTCATTTTTGTTGCTCAGTTTTCCAAATACACTCAGAAAATGAAAAGGACTCAGCAGCAGCAATAAAAACTTACAAAGATTTGGTTAGTTTTCATTCTATAGAAACCTTGTAAAATATAAGAGTGATGAAATAGTAGAGCTCTCTAGCTAAATTAGTTTCAAGATTTGGAAACTTACTTTTGCAATTGTAGATAAAAGAAGGATAATTTGCTTTAAGTTAAAAAAAAAAAAAAGGAAGACTTGCATCCTGCAGAAATTGAAGGGCTCGTCTGGAAAAGCTGCCTATTCATGATCGGTTAGTTAGAGGATTTTCTAAGCCTTGGAAAGACTGAACGCATGGACTGGGAAGTATTATAACGCATTTTTATAACAAATTCAGCTTTTTCCATCATATATATGACATATATAAATATGACTTTTCTTGGATCATGTTAGAGTAAACTGCTCTTGCATTAGTGTTTTGATCACAGCAAACATATTACAAAATAAAAAACACATTTGCCCATAAAAACTACAGCAATCATAATATCCCAAAGAATACTATTATATTGTTACTTTATATGAATTTTATTGCAGAAGTTTTCTTACAACATGCCATGTTGTTCTAAACACTCCCTGCATTTCCCCAATCCCCTAAACACATGCAAGTTATTAAGCCCACAGTGTTCTGCAATAACACAACTTGAGATCATCACAAAGATTAATAGTTTTCACCAAACTTCTGATTGAGTCTGACTTCTAAAAATATATTTACACTTAATTGTTGAAAGTACTCCTACTAATATGAAGACACCGGCGAGAAAATTCACAAGTACTTGTGAGATAAGGATCCCACATAGAAACCGTAAGGATCATCTCAGTGATCCATCTTGCTCTGTATCCTGCTTTGAGTTTGTACCAAATACTAAAGAGGAATAGGTAATATGCTCTATAGTGTTATGAATCAACTCAGCTCCATCTGAAGTTTCAACTTCGTCTTCATTTAGTGGCCATCTTACGCTATGGAGTAGGAAAGTATTGTTAGTATGGATATTTTACATTTATAGACATCTATCTAATGTAAAGATGCTGGCACTTGCTGTCAGCACTTTCTCAACAGTTTTGATTTAGAAGAAATATATCACTAAAAACTATAAAAATGATTAATGATGTTTAGAGCAGCTCTATAGTAAGATAGTATTTTCATTCAGTGCTGCAAAAAATGACTGGTGGCATTTTAGAATACCTAAACTATAAGAACTTGAAATAGCAAAAAATAACATCTAATTAAGTTAGTAATTACTGTAAATCTGAAGATAGGTTCCTCTTTTAAGCTAACAGCTAAGATGCCAGGTGGAGACTGTCAGTGCTTTACTAAAACCAAAAGATTTGATGACTGGTCCTTAATGGAGCAGATGGCCATGGATGCATAGGCAGAGCCAGAAAGGGATTTTGTTCTCTCATCTGTTCAACTCATTTTCATTCTGTTTTCGACTGCACTGGCAATCTCAGCCTGCCATACATCCCGGCACTCCAAGTGCCCATTGATTCCAGACAGACTGCTCAAAAAGCAGACAGAAGACAGGGACCATCTCAGCAATCCCACTGAAAACATGAGAAGCCATTTTATCTCTTAGTCTTGGGGTTTTTTGCCTTTGTCTGTCTTCTTCTAAATGAATATTTAGGAAATACACAGTATGTTCTCATTTCAAATAATGTAGAAAAGGTAAAAAAAAATACACTTCTTGCCTCTGATGACTGAAATGACAGACAATAAAAGATCGGTGAGATTCACTAGTAGGTGGGTGTCGGTCTCTTCTCCCAAGTAACAAGCGATAGGATGAGAGGAAATGGCCTCAAGTTGCGCCAGGGGAGGTTTAGATTGGACGTGAGGAAAAATTTCTTTACTGAAAGAGTGGTGAAACATTGGAAGAGGCTGCCCAGGGAAGTGGTTGAGTCCCCATCCCTGGAGGTATTTAAAAGACGAGTAGATGAGGCACTTAGGGACATGGCTTAGTGGGCATGGTGGTGTTGGGTCGACGGTTGGACTCGATGATCTTAGAGGTCTTTTCCAACCTTAATGATTCTATGATTCTATTATCTTTCCACTTCCTTTAGCTTTTCAAGCAACGCTTATTGTTAAGTGTAACTGTTAAAACATCAGAAGAATTTATAGGTATTTTACAGGCAAGATATATAATTTTATATTCATAGACAGGACAACTCCAGTCCTGTGGAGTAAACTACTGTTCAAAGTGGAAAAATTCTGGAACTGTATTTAACAATGGAGCATTACTGACATGTGACTGACGAAAATAACGAGGAGAAAAAAAAAAAAAGAAATGTTAGTTTAAATTGGAAGCCAGTTACAGAGACCTATAGAAGAGCCCTTCTGATTAAAATAAAAATAAATTACTAAACAGGTCAGCTAAGATGATCACAGAATCACCAAATGGTTGAGGTTGGAAGGGGCCTCTGGAAATCGTCTGGTCCAACCTGCTGCTCAAGCAGGGCCACCTACAGCAGGCTGCCCAGGATTATATGTAACAGACCAAGAACTGAGGAGGCTTACAAAGATGTCTTTGTGTATTTCCAAGCAAAAATTCTGTCCAAGCTGAATAATATTTACCTATTTTTATATATCCATAT